TCCCCTCTAAAATTAACCCACGGTAGAGAGAAAGAGGGAAAGGGGGGTGGGGATTACAGTGAAGTTTTACTGGGGTATAATAATATTATCCTAATAGAACATTGGAAATATTTCAATTATGCAGAGAGGATTAATGTTTGATTACAGGAGGAGGATGGGAACTACTGTTAGGGGTTTATTCTAAGGAATCTCAGAATTTGGAGAGGCCTTAAAGCTCTAATCCAATCCGCATTAGTGCAGGAAATCCTTTGTCTCTTTAACCCCAAATCACTCCATCATAATTGCATTCACCCACAACTTCTGGAGGCAAGCTGTTCCACTGGTTAATTGTTCTCACTGTTGGGAAGTTTCTCCTAAGTTCCAGGTTGCTTCTCTCCTTGATTAATTTCCACCCACTGCTTCTTGTCTTGCCCTCTGGTGCTTTGGAAAGTAAATTGCCCCTCCCTCTTCGCACACCAAAACTGGAAGATAAGTCATCACCAAAAATTATTATTTCAGCAGCAGCTTGCAAGTCTACCGCTCTCTTTCCCTCCCCAGAAAAAAAGTTTATTTAAGGAGAACTGCATGAATCTTCTTCTTCTTCTCCCCCCCCCCTTTTTTTAGGAACTAATGCTTGAAAACAACTACAGAGAATTCCACTTAATCATAACACTGTAAACAAGGAAGTGAGAGCAGTATTTAAAAATATCTGAGCATGTTTCAAAATCCCCACTGATTTAAATTAAGCAGCTGTGTAATCACTGGTCCTGCAATTTTAATGAAAATTCCAAAAGGAAATGCAGATTTGATTATCCTTATTATCAAGGAAAGATAAGATCTGAGCTGAGCAACAGACGAGCCTCGGAAGACAGCCTGCGACGCGCCTCCCCACCCCGTAGCTCTGTTGCCTGCGGTTCATCATCCGTCAATCCTAGGGAGGATGAAAGGGATCAGATCCAACTTCTCCATCCCTTCCAGGTGGAGCTCCAGAGCTTCTTCAGAGCAGCTGATAGATCTCCTGGCCTTGAAGCCCACCATGCTTGGGAGAATAATTAGTGATTCGAGGCGAAGTTTACCCTGGATCAAGCAATGATCAACTAATTCATATTCTACTGCAGTTCTCCTTTAACATACTTTGGGGCATATTATATACACTTAATTAGTTGGTGTTTATACAGTAATTAGGAGATATGCAACACTATCAAAGGTCTCAATAGAGCCACTGGTATTAGAGGAAGAGCAGTGATTTGTGGAGAATGGTTATTCCCCCTTCAAGGAAGGCTATGGACCTGATTCAGACATTTAATGGTCCTAGCATTTTTCTCTTTCTTAGGGAGAAGTGGACCTAGAACCTCATGGACCTTCCAAGCACTTCAAGCTATTTGCAAGGAGTAAAGGACACTAATGAAGGGGTGTCCGTATTGGGTACTCCAGGATAGGGAGAGAGGGAGGGAGGGAGAAAGGAAGGAAGGACATTGGAAATTTTTATCAAAAATGACTGGCATTGTATCAAAATAAGCCAACAACTGTTGCGCAATACCGGACATCTAAAACATTAACTGTAGTTTCTCACTGGAAACTAAATTATACTGAGGAGGGCAATGTGTTTGGCATTTTTGTGATGGAATGTGGTCTGGATTCCCAGGAGGGAGGGGCTGCACTCCAGAGAAGCAAGCGACAACAGAACGTGCGAGAGAAAGAGAGTGAAGACGGCTCCTCCTCAATGGTTCCCAGAGTATATATTTAATGCTGCAGGTAATCTGCTTTAGATTGGCAAGATCTATAGGTGAGGAACCGAAAGAAATCAATAAAGAATGCAGCTCAGTTAGTTTGTGTGAGAGAAAGCGGGTGAAGACGGTTCCTCCTTAATAGTTCCCAAAGTATATGCTTTATGGCGGTGTTAGCATGCTCTATTTTGGCAAGATTCTATCTATGGGTGAAGAACAATAAAGAAATCTGCTTGGGAGAATCAATACGTGCCTTTCTTGGTTTCTGGAGCCTCGGCCTGATGATTTTTTTAAGAGTACAAAAATAATTGATAAATTAGGAGGAGAAAAAACTGCATCTGGAACTGGACTCAAATGGGGGCAAGCAGGAAGATCAACAATGGCTCCACATGCCAGGAATCCGGGTTTCTGTTCAAGAATATATTGGCTTCGCTTCCAGATCTTCAGACCCAACAGCGAGAGCAGCTAATGCCTGGATGTACCTTAAAGGAGAACGTCACCTGTGATCAAGTGAAAGTGGCTGCTTAAATGTTTCTGCAGCAATTTTTTTCTTTCTTTCTTCTTTTTTTTTTATGAACAGTGTCTGCTAGAAAAGCAGCCAAGGATCACCGATGGAAGGAAATATTCAATAAGGGTGTTAGGCGAAGAAAATGTATTAGTGTTAAAGAGATTAACATTATTTCACGGACACTAATGACTTTCAAAATGACAAGTTTTACTCACTGCTGCCTTCTCCGCCTTAAGCGCCATTCATCTCTCTCTTCTCCCGGCTTTCGTTACAGCCTCCACCACGGAGGGTGACTGATTCATAGCTGATGCGCTTCCCCCTCCTTAAGCCAGCCTGCTGACTAATGGCACATGCTCCAGAGATAATATCCAGGAGCCTTGCGATGGTGCCAAGATGAAGGGCTGGTGTGAGGGTGCAGCTGGCAATTGTTCAAAAAGGATGTCCTGAGAGGTATCGCCAGATGACTGTTCAGGACTACAGATGTCTCTGCGCACAAACAGCCCTTCGGAGCCCAGATAAGGGAACATCCCCTGTACACAGAATTCAGCACATCTTCATCACACCACGTTGCCAAAGAACACGATGGCTGAACACCGCCGTCAAGGCTGACACCAGCCAGAGCATAGAAAAACTCAAAAAAGCAGTACAAGTGTCAAAGTTCCGACTGATGAACCCAACCAAACATCTTCAAGACATTCCGATCTCTTAATGTAAAACTTTTATCGAGTACATCATATCGGCACGTATGAAAGCAAAACCAGCTCTGGAGAGACCCCGCGCAAACCCATATAGTAAAAGCATGGAATTTTCCCTCCTCCCTCTTGGTCCGGTCACGTTGCCCAGTCAAGCAGAAAAATATTCCATCAAGTGGTGGCCCACGTTCAACCAATATTTGTATGTCCACTTTTTAATTTCTGGGTATACCAGCCATAAAACCAAAGAGAGCCAAGAACCGCCTCGCCGTGTGCTGGGAAGCAAAAAAAGATATCTCCACTCCCGTTTGGGGATTTAAGCAAATGGAGCAAAGAAAACTGTGAAAGAGACCCACAAATGTGCCGTAAAGACTAATGACGGACATGGGGAGCAATGAACAGAACGGTGGAAAACAACACCCTGGAGGGTTTTTCTGGAGTTCCTTGCCTGCCGGTAAATGGGATGGTTAAAGATGGTTAAAATGCACGAAGATGTCCTTTATGGCTCGACATTTTTAAGATTGAATAAATGAAGACCCCTTTATGGCCAGCAATAATTAGCAAGATTATTTATCTCCCATGTAAGCTTCTCCCTACCACATTGGGAAAGCCTGGGGGAAGGGGGGGGGGCTGTTTCCCACGCTTCAGAAGGTTTTCCTGCTTGGTCCTTCATCTACATTTCTTGCTCAATCTTGGATCAAGAACAGCTTTTCCACTTGGCCAGGCCTTCCACGGTCTCTCTGGAGTTGTCTTCTTCTGCCAGACCTCCCTCTGCTAGCTCTATGGCTTTAATGGCTTGATATATACTGTATATCCTCTGCTCATGTTTGATAGGACTGCTTTTGTAGTGTTATTTGTATCCACGTCGACATCTCATGATGGATTCACAATGAAAGAACCAAAGACCAAATTCTTCTTCTTGCCCTCCAGATGTGTTATTCTTCTGTTCCTATTCTTATCTCTTGATTAATTCAACATCAGCCATTCTTCATTCTCCTTTGCTCCCCATACAACTGGCTTACAACTATTTGTTGGCTTACAACTATTTGTTTAGCACCCGTTTGATGTTCCAAAGGCACTGAAAAAAGTGACCGATGACCGTTTTTCACGCTTACGACCGCTGCAGCATCCCCATGGTCATGTGATCAAAATTCAGATGCTTGGCAACCGATTCATATTTATGACGGTCGCAGTGTCCCGGAGCCAAGTGATCCCCTTTTGCGACCTTCTGACAAGCACAGACCATGGGGAAGTCAGATTCACTTAACAACTTACTAACTTATCAACAGCCAGTGATTCATTTAACAACTGTGGCAAGAAAAGTCATAAATTGGGCTAAATTCACTTAACAAATGTCTCACTTAACAACAGAAATTTTGGGCTCAATTGTGATCGTAAGTCAAGGACTACCTGTATAAATAGTTTTGGGCTTTGGAAGAATTTACATCGCTAAGATTGGGTTATAAACATTTCCAGCCTACAAATTCCTGTACTGTCTCATTAACATCTCGGTCATATTAATAGATCCTTTTGGATTAGCATTTGCCTTTACTCAAATCTTCTGCTAGACTTCCTTTGCTATTTTTGCTTTCTTAGAAGGCAAACAGAAAAAAAGTTGGATCACTTAGTTAGGCCATTTATTTAAAAAAAAGGATTCTAGGAAAGCTTTATTTAAATTTATGTCGCTCTGGGTATCGCTGGACTCACATGAAACACAACGAAAAGGCTCTAATTTCTTTCCAAATGGTTTTGATTCAGACATTCCTTTTCATTTATTTTTGCCACCAAATAAAATCTGTTTGGATCAGTTTATGCATCTAGGCGCTCATTAAATCATGGCCTGAACATCCTCAGTCCCAGAACAGGGAAAACAGCTGCTGAGATCTGAAGTAGAAACTGAGGATGTTTGTTAATTTTGTAGCTTTAGCCCCATGCTCAGCATCACATCGCTGGACGGAGGAGATAGACCAAGGGAGCATCTTCAAATCAGTTTTTTTCTCTAGACAGGCCAGACTTATAAAAACACTTCAAAGAGCTCAACAAGAGACAAGACTCCAAGGAATTTATCCCAAAGCGAAGGCCATAGCATGCCAATCACTGCAACTGGGCAGCTTTAGTGTTGCTTTGACAATCCAAATAGTCTATAAAGACCTGAGAGGTGATAAACTCAGTTTATTAGTACAGCAAATATTTGTAGCTCAAGGTTGCAGTGTGAGGTCTCTGGTGTTCTCTGAGCTTGGTTGTTTCCTTGCGAATGTTTTGTGACCCAACTAGGTAACATCATCAATAACTGCCGCATGAACGCCGATGATGTTACTTAGTTGGGTCAAGAAACATCTGCAAGGAAACAACCAAGCTCAGAGGGTCCATACAGTCCTCCTCCTCCTCCCTGCAAATATCCACTCCCTTCTAGCACTGATGATGTTTCCTAGTTGGGTAATGAAACATCTGCAAGAAAACAACCAAGCTCAGAGAGCACCAAGAACCACATAGCCCTCCTCCTCTTCTTCTTCTTCTTCTTCCTCCTCCTCCTCCTCCTCCTCCTCTCCACAACTCCCACTCCTTTCTAGCACTAATGATGTTACCTAGCTGGGTCCCTTCCACTCCTCATTCAGCATCTCTGAACTCTCCATCCACCTTCCAACCCAGCTGATGTCACTCCTCAAAGCACCTGCTAGTTGACTGTCTTCCTGCATGGATGTTGTGTACCCCAAGTCACAACCACAACCACAACAATAATAATAATGGAATAACATCCACATCTGCCTATCCAGGTCCTGGGTAAGGACTCGATAGGTAGACAAAATGCCAAATCCAGTCTGAACATCTGGCTAACTGTGCGATGATCCATAGTAGTAGTAGTAGTAGTAGTAATAATAATAATAATAATAGTAATAATAATAATAATAATAATAATAATAATAATAATAATAATAATAATAATAATAATAATAATAATGATAATAATACGCCTGAAAGGCTGAGCTTATGGGGGCAAGTCACTCGTCCCCCGGAGACCTTCTGCCAATGTATCTCTTGACTTTCTCTGATTAAAATATCAATCTAATTGTAGGATTTATGTCGCTCTCCTCGTTTAATATGGAAATCATCCCCCAGTATCCCACTGCTTGGAAGATGTGTTACTCTGTTTACTTGATTAGAGAGGGAATTGCTGCTCCTGCTGTCATCACATTCAGATTTAAGTGACAACTCGGCGTTATCAGGATTCACGTAATGCGCTCCTATGGAGCTGCCTGACAACATCGGTGCTTTGAATGCAGTCCTTTCGTTAACCGGCAGGGCTGTCCCTTCGTGGCAGGACGGAGGAAGACGCAGTTGGCTTTGCACGGATTGGATTACATTCTTCTTTTAGTGAAAGAGGCCCGCTGCCTTCAGAAGCCAGCTCTTTCCAAGATAAGCAGCTGAGGACAGGCAAAAAGCCGAGCGTTACACTTGGGTGGGTTTCCCTTCCACGTTGCTGCAGAATTACTCTCTATTTGTAGCAGATCTGGGAGCGAAGAGGCACAGGAGCCCATCAACGCATCCTTGCCTCCCAAAGAGAGTTGTCCCAAAGGTGCTTTTTTCAAAAGGCAACTTGGATTTCCTTGGGCTTTTTTCCCCCCTCTTGAAAATGTTTCGCTTCCCATCCAAGACACTTCTTCAGTTTCTGAAGAACCACCTAATGGTTAAGAAGCGTCTTGGATGAGAAGCGAAAGGTTTTCAATAGGGAAAACAAATCAAGGAAGTACAGTTGCCTTTTGGAAAAGCGCCTTTGGGACAAGCGTGGCCTGGATGACGGAGATTCTCCATAGACATCCCAACTCTAGAACTTGGATGAGTCTCCTGCCTTCCTCTCTGTATCAACCATCAAGGCACCTTCCAAGAAAATAAGACCTGAATCTTGAACTGCTGCCATCTGATTAAAAAATCCCTGCGGATCGTTGCTAATTGAAAAAGTCCAACTGAAAGGAAAGGTCTCGACTCTTTTGTTCAACGTGGGAAGTTGAGAAAGGGCTCCTTGCAGCTTCCAAGTAAGCCTAGATGAAAATTTGCCTTTCTCCTCATGTTTAAATTAAAAAAACCCAGCACTTTCCACCCCTGTCCATCTCATTTCCATTTCCAGATGCCTTCACAAACTCGTCTTTTAAGCCTTGTGTCCTGCAACGGCAATCATCCCTAACAGTAAGTGGTGACTCATCGCTGCCTTGCATTTTTTCCCAATTCTGCTTCCTTTTTGCCGTCCAAGCTGACAGACTGCCAGTCACAAGACATCAGCAGATACCAGTTTTCCTATTTTCTGTTTTTTAACCACCCTAACGTTGGTCCCACAGCACAGTATAGTCAGTGATCGATCCGTTATCACCTCGTGGGAGCCCTGTCGTACCCCAGGATAAATAAGGGCGATGCTTAATCGGAAATTGGAGGCACCTCCCCCAAACAAAGGGGTGTGTATTGTGATGCAAAATGCTTCATTTGTACCTCTGTGCAGTGTGAGAACCTATTCTTTTAATGACCGTCTTACAGTAGACCTAACTTGGTCTACAGTAGGGGTGTCCAATCTTGGCTACTTTAAGACTTGTGGACTTCCACTACCAGAATTCCCAGCTGGCTGGGGAATTCTGGGAGTTGAAATCCACAAGTCTTAAAGTTGCCAAGGCTGGACATCCCTGGTCTACAGTTTGATATAAATACTGTGATGGAAATACTATAAACATCCTTAAGTTATTTGTATTTCTGCCACCAAAATCAGTGGAGTGCGATTGTCTGCCTAGGACCCACTATAACTTCCTGGGAAGTGAAAATAAGTGGTGGATCAACTCAGAGTTTCTGGTTGGAAGTCTTGGCAAGAATCCTAGAGCAGGGAGACATAACTCTGATCCATTCAAGGCCCCGAGATTCTTCACTGTGTCTGGAACGGTTGAGGAACATCTACCAAAGAGTCTGTAGGTCCTAAATGTTGAGAGAACCTTGTACCCTTGTATCCTAACAGGCTCTCAGGTCAGCAAGATTCAAGTTTAGAAAGGACCAAACATACGAATTATAGAGTAGCAGGCTGCTATGGTCTAAAGTCACTCTTACTTAAGAGTCTGTGATGGCAACAGGGAAGACTAGAAGATGGGACTCCATTGATGTCAGCTGGTTGGACACAAACAAAAGAGGCTTTTAGGTCCCTTAACTGCTCGTTATTCTTTCTCCTCCTGAAGGTAAAACTGCCTTGGGCTAAGAAACAATCTTTGGCAGCCCAGGAGGATTGGCATGACAGCTCTAAAGAACATTTATCTCTTTTCCCCTTGCCTTTTTCTAACCCACCGTGATCCCCAAACACAAACATTCTTTTGGTTCCTGTCACATTTGGGAGCCAGGAATGGAAGCTGCCCTCCATCCTGGAGGAGTCAAGAAAATGCTCGGGACATTCCAGTATATACATTCTTATCAGATTATACCATATTTTACAAGCAATTCATTATCTCTACATATACATTAAATTTTATATACATTATCTATTCTAAAGTAACATACATTTCTATCTTATCATTCGTCTGAGCTTGAGGAAACATTACGCCAAATTGAAAAATTGGAATTAAGCCTTATTGTGAGGGAGGGTCCCTATGGGAGGAGAGGTGCTGTGATGGATTACAGTGATGTGACATTCCAAGCTAAGGAGGGTATGACAAGAGGCAACACAGTCCAGAACTGGACAGGAGACAGCGGAAGAGAATTAGGATGGCCACTTCCTAGAATCTCCCACGTATATCCATTAGAGACAGAGTGGTAAAGATTAAATCTGGCAAGATTCTGTCTATAGGATGCACGTAAATATAGAACTGAACTTGGACTGGATTGTTCTATGTCATTCCAATATCTAAGAGGCTGCCACAAAGAAGAGGGGGTCCAAAGCACCTGAAGGCAGGAGAAGAAGCAATGGATGGAAACTAACCAAAGAAAAAAGAACTAAGGAGAAATTTCCTTATAGTTAGAACAATTCACCAGTCGAAGAGCTTGCCTCCAAAAGTTGTGGGAGCTTCATCACCGGAGGCTTTTAAGAAAAGACCGGGCAGCCATTTGTCTGTAATGGTAGAGGGTCTCCTGCTTGAGTAGGGGGCTGGACCAGAAGACCTCCAAGGGGCCTTCCAACCCTGTTATTCTATTATTCTATCAAGAAATGTCAATGAATTGCTTTGAATCTTCTCAGAAGTGTTGACATAAACACATTAAAACATGATCAAGTAGAACAGCTCCTACCTCTTTAACTGCTGGATGCTTTTTGTCTCTCCAAACCCTGAATTTGTTTCAGGAATCCTTCTGATCCTACTCTGCAACTGTCTCTCCGCATTTACATCCTTCTGGCTCCCTTCTCTGTCCCTTTAGAACTCCTTCAAGTTTTTTGAACTTCTTTTCATTACCTGCTCTCCCTTTTCTCTGTTAGCCTTTCGCGAGGAGCCACAAAAGTTCAGACTGAATTTCAAGATCCCTTTCATCTTTTGATGCCTGGAGGGACGGCAACCGTATGTTTTAGAAGAAGCACAGCCCGGAGTTTCATAAATGCACTATGGTATTCTTTCAGACCACGGAGATACGGCGATGTTGGGGGGGGGGGGGAGAGAGAAAGATTTGAAATTGCAATAACTACCTTTTGATTATAAGTAGGCCAGTGTTTTTTTTTTAAAAAAAAATATCTTTTGATACGGTCCATTGGCTAATCCCACACCTGGAAGAACAAAAATTGGTTGATCTTTTGTTCTTGATGAAAAGATAAGTGGTCCACTAATGGATGCCAACTGGAACCAAATCACTGGATAATCACTGCTTATGCTACTCCCTGGTCCAGCCAAGAGGCAGATTCAATTTCCCTTCACAGATTTAGTAGAGCCGTGCCATTATCTTTAAAATCCAATGGATCTTTCAGCAGGGATAGGATTCATTCAACTTTCTTAAGTAACGGTCCAAATGCTTCCCCTGCTAAAAACTGAAGAACAATTCTATGAGAAATGGATCTCCTAAAATGGACCTTAGAGAAGACTTCTGCAGCAGGCAGATTAGAATAAGCTGATGTTGACTGTAAGAAGGATCTGTTCCTTTTTTTTCCCTTTGAGATATTTCATTCCCCATCTGAACTTTCTTCCAGCAATATTATTACCTCTAATAATAATCTCTTTTCCCAGAACAGAATGCTAGAATGGAGAACAAAAGGCCCCATTATAAAATTAAAAGACAAAACCCAAACACTTATGATATCACTCCTGGTAATTATATAGTCGTATCAAAATCATCTACAATGGAGAAGATTATATAAGGAAGATTGGGGAGGGAGAGAACCCAACTCCGTTCCATCACTGGCCCATATTGTCAATATTATTTGATGTGTAGTATATTTTGTTTTTCAAGGGAGAATGGAATAAGAACAATTGCTCAAAAACGCTGGAGCTTCCTTAGTTCTTCAGACTGCAGCAAAATCAAATGTGGCTTTCTGGATTTGACTTGGCATGTTGTATGAACCCAGCCTTGTCAACTTATGGCTTAGACTAACACTGGACCACAATCCCCTCTGCCCCCAGTTATGTGTTAGAACTAGACTAAACATGACATTCTTGGTTTGGGAACAAGCACACAGCCCCATGACTATCAACCAAAGATGGTCTTAAGATAGATGTAAGTCTCACTCATTACCTCGTGGCTAAAGAGATCAGTGTAGGAGATGACCAGGCTGAGCCCGAGGGAGGGGCCTAACTCATCATAAGTCATGAGTCCCAGTCATTATCTCCTACTCATTTCCTTGACCATTAATTGGCCAAAATCTTGTTGAGAACTTACGCTTGAAATAAATCTTTATACTCATTTGAACTGCCTGAATCTTCTGATTTTCCCAGCACTCGACAACTGGAGATGCAACAAAGCCAACCTCGACAAGCACGCTGGCCGGGGAATTCTGGGAGTTGAAGTCTACCCATCTTCAAGTTGCCAAGTTTGAAAAACGTTGCCCTAACTGGATAAGAGATCATCACTGGATCAAGGGTCTTGGCCCACCTAGAGAATGAAGCTGCTGAAGCTCTGCCCCATTCGCAAATCCCCTTCTACAAATTGCCATTTTCGTACCAAAGAAGACCAGAAGAACGGGGTGGCTGCCCCTAAAAAACAACAACCCTATCTTCCATTTTAGTGGGGAAAGTTCTAAAGCAAATGAGAAGAAGCTTCAAGAAGCTCGGTGGCACGTTGCCAAAACTGCAGTACGATCTCCAGTTGCTGCTATGAAAGATATTTACAGCTTAGGATCACCTTGCTGTGTGGATTCACACTTAATGGACTCTGGCACCCACATTAAAGCACCCTTACTGCCTAACCCACCAGTCGGAACCCCATTCAGCCAGGATGCGGCATAGTCATATCCAAGGAGGTTTAATAGTGGCCAAGAAATTATTACGCCAACCCATCAGCATCGCCGTCCTTAATGTCTTCTTGATTATTTTTTTGTTGCTGTAATTATAATCCACTGAACCTTAAATTTTGAACTGCTCTGGATTACCACAAATATCTCAGGCATAATAAAGCCAGGCCTCTATGGCTGCAGCCTCTGCAGCCGAGCTGAAAAATGTTATTCTCCACTCAGAAATATGAGGAGCAACTTACATATCAATTAAAACAAACCGCAACGTTCTTCATGCCGTTTCCCTGGTCAAGTAGCCCTTGACTTGCCTCGTATACACGCCATTTGCCACTCAATTGCCGGCCTGTGCTTTAGCGGTCGGCTTATGAATTGCGTTTTTTTACCGTCCAATAGCTAGGAGCTCCTGGGGTCACGCCCAAAGAGGTTAAAAATGCATCATAAAACTGAAAAACTGTGCTAACACAACACATTTGCTCAAATCAATTATAGACTGGGCGAGTGCACTGAAAAAGTACAATCTTGGATAGATTAATGAGAGAGCAAGAGCGAACAAGGGAAAGAGAGAGAGAGAGAGAGAGAGNGAAGGAAGGAAGGAAGGAAGGAAGGAAGGAAGGAAGGAAGGGAAAGGAAAGGAAAGGAAAGGAAAGGAAGAGAGATTTAGTATCCCAGAGTTACAATCCTAGATTGTAGAGATATATAATACAGACACTTGCTAAGCTAGCCACAGTGCCTGGAACAGACATTCAGATGCATTTATATGTATAGCTACATGCATGGGATGGCTTTCTATGTAATGTTCTATGGAAGGGGAAGTTGGACTTTGAAAAGGCAGGATAAAAAGTACGGATATGTTTAAACTGTGAAACTTTTGTCTGGTTCTAATCAGGATATTACCTTGCCGTGATTTGGAATTATTTTCTCCCCAAGTGACCCTATTTAGAACAGCCGAGATCTAGGGAAATCCCACCCCATCCTGATTCTTAGAACTCTTCTCCCAACGGACTGGCTATAAAAAGGGTGTGATTTATTTCACGTGCCACACAATTACAATCGGCATCTCTCGACCTTGGCAAACTTGAAGACGGGGGGGGGGGGGGGAGGCATCAACTCCCAGAATTCCCCAGCCAATTCTGGGAGTTGGAAGTCCCCCCCCCCCGTCTCCAAGTTTGCAAAGCTTGAAAAAGACTCACTTCGATGGCTGTCAAAACGGTACAAGGGGTGAATTAGGCTGATTGCGGTACCAAAATGGCTCTCGATAGCACGTTGCAAAGTCTTGCCTTTGTTATCGGATCAAACAGCCCCGCTGGGAAACTGATCGGATTGCAGGACTTGGTACCTACCAGCAATTTCGGGGTGGGACTGGAGATTGGCACCACCCTCCGGTTTCCCTGAGCAGTTGCTGCTGCTGCTGCTGGTGGTGGTGGTGGTGGTGCCTCCAGCATCTCCACCTTCTAAAATTCTGAGCCTCTCCCGGAGGCGTTCGCATTCCTCCCGCAGGGTCGCCATCTCCTCTTGACGCTGCTGCTTGGCCAGGCTGGCTGGGTTCATGGAGAAGTGGAGTATTTTGGTCCGGCTGGGATCGTGGTAGCCCTGCAAGGCACAGAAGTGGGGGGGGGGAAGGGGGAAACAGCGGGTGAGGATGGCCAAGAAGCTAAGCGTCAGCAGCCAAACCATCTTGCTTGAACCGTCCCGGCGGAAAGGGCCAGCTGCAAATGAAGAGGAATAGTAGGTGCACCAGCCCGTCCAGGAGACGGTTACTTTCCACCGAGTTTACTCCGTGTGTGTTAGCCGTGCTGGTTGGGGAATTCTGGGAGTTGAAGCCCACACATCTCCGAGTAGTTGAGGTTGAGAAAAACTGGCCTAATCAAGTTTGACTCTCAACTAAACACTTGAGAAGTATAAGATGAGGATAATCCTAGGGCTGGAAGGGACCTTAGAGGTCTTCTAGTCCAACCCCCAACTCAATAATAGAATCACAGGGCTGGAAGGAGGTCTTCTAGTCCAAACCCCTGATCAATTGTAGAATCACAGGGCTGGAAGGGACCTCAGAGGTCTTCTAGTCCAACCCCCTGCTCAATTATAGAATCATAGGACTGGAAGGGACCTCGGAGGTCTTCTAGTCTCACCCCCTGCCACCTCTGTGACGCTCAGTAGATGGCTAATGAATTGGGAAACCAACTCGTAGCAAACGACACGAATCTTCAAAGGAGAAAAACGGAGTAGTGAAAGAAAAGACCTGAAGAAGAGTATTTAGAAACACAACCGACTACGAGGATTTTCACAGTCCTTTGAAGAAAGCCACCGTTGAGCTTGTTGAACTTCAAACCAAGTAAACAGAGAGAAGGCAGAATCTATCTCCAAATTACACCTCTCCTGGGCTACCGTCAGCCACATTAAACCGGCTGCAAAAAAATATATACATATCGCTATTTATATTTTGGTCCTTCCTTCGGGGAACAAGCCAGAGGCCAAACCCCAGGTAAACACCGATGCTCCATCACCTCTTCCAGCCAGCAAGGCCTGCTTAGCATCCAGCTTTCGATTCCACAGAGGAGCTTTTAACAAGCAAATGGCAAAGCATAAAAGGCTCTTTTTCGCTCTACCTTTCCCGAGCTGGCACAGTGCAACCCCAGATGCATGCAGATTAAAGCTCTCCCAGCTGTGTTCAGTGCCCTCTAGTGTTGCATCTCTAGCCCCTCATCCTGGTTAGACAAAAGAACGTGGCTGCGGAGAGTAGCAAGGGGTCTCTGCCTGCCCGGCATTTTATTTTTTAAAAAAATCTTTTAAGCTATCAACAAGATGCAAAAGGTCAAAGTCTTCCGGTAGCAGTCACTGTCCTGAAACTGTCAAAAAGTGGGTGGGCGAAGGGGGGGTCCTTGCCTACCAAAGACCACTAGAAGGGATGGGCTGTTTTGCTCCGGATCTTGTAGCCTAAGAGAGACGGCTTGCATTTAAGGAGGTGTTATTCGGCGCTGGGGGAACGGAGAGGTTCAGGAGAGCAGCTTCGGCAGGCTCAAGATGCAGATCAAAAGCGGGGGGGGGGGGGGAAACCAGGCAGAAAATTCTTGGGTACTTTTCTTTTCTTTCTTTTTTTCCTTCCTCAATGTTGTGCCTAACAAGCAGGAAAGTGAAGTGTTTCTAGAGCTACATGCCATGTATCTGATTTTTTATTAAATCTGTCTTATTAGGTGCATTAGTTTTTCTTGCTGTCTTCATCTCCAGGCAGAGCCCTGGTGGCGAATGTCTTCCTGCTTCATTTCTGAGGACGGCAATTAAAAATGTGAAACCACAGATCTGGATTTGGAAAACGGAACCCTAAATACAGACAGGTTTAGATTTTAGGGAATATAGATCAGGTTTAGATAGACGGGACTGCCTCTCCCCCACGATGTCCACCTGGATGGTTCTCTGGTGGGACCATGAAAATATATGAGGAGGGATCTCCCAAGTCTTGTGTATGTTTGTGTGGGTGGGTGGGTGGGTGGGTGGGTGAGGGAGAGAGAGAGAGAGAGAGAGAGAGAGAGAGAGAGAGAGAGAGGCAGACAAGGATGTTGAGACTCTAGGAAGAGTGCAGAGAAGAGCAATAAAGATGATCAGGGGACTGGAGGATAAAACATACAATGAATGCTTGTAGGAACTGGGTATGCTTAATCTAATGAAGAGAAGGACCGGGGGTGACATGATAGCAGTCTTCCAATATTTGAGGGGCTGCTACAAAGAAAAGGGGGTGGTCAACCTATTCTCCAAAGCACCTGAAGGCAGGACAAGAAGCCCATGGATGGAAACCAATCAAGGAGAGAAGCAACCTAGGACTAAGGAGAAATTTCCTGAGAATGAGAACAATTAACCAGTGGAACGACTTGCCTCCAGAAGTTGTGGGTGCTCCATCAATGGAGGTTTTTAAGAAGAGACTGGACAACCACTTGTCTGGAATGGTATAGGGTCTCCTGCTTGAGCAGGGGGTTGGACTAGAAGACCTCCAAGGTCCCTTCCAACACTGTTATCCTGTTATTCTGATTTGGAACTGCTATGAAATTATCTTGGTGGTGCCAGCCTTTGGTCCTGAAACGGCAAAGCATCGGAAGGACCTATTTTTTACCCATCATGCAGCGTTTCCAAGGGAAAAAATCACCCTCTCCCCGAAACGCAGTTGAAAGGAATGGCTGCGCCTTCCTTCTACTTCTTTGCTCAAGGCTTGTTAAAGTGATTAGAGGAAAACCTTACATGAAACGCTTCCAAACAGTTCCCCAGGGCCCCGGCGTACGACAGGCAAGCACGCTGACCAAACCCCCAATTCCCTTCATTAGAGAGAGGATAACCAGCCCAGGGGACCCCCTAAAAGCCCTCTGAACGCCGATGTGCTGTCATGCCGAAATGGCTTCCCACAACAATGCGAAGAGAAGAGAGACCAGCCCACTCACCCACCCACCCACGCCTGGCCTGACAAAGCGGTCCTCTTTGATGGCTTTCCTTGTAAATTTTCCTCTCTGCAATCTTGAGGAAATGCATCTTTACAAAACACGCAGAGCATCATCAAGATACATCAAGCCACAAGAAAGGCTGATATAAATTTAAATAATAATAATAATAATACCCCAGACTTAACAATTGTCGATAAGAAAGACAAAAAAGTCTGGATAGTGGACGTGGCAGTGCCTGGAGACAGCAGAATAGACGAGAAAGAACTGGAGAAGATAACAAAATACAGAGACCTACAAATAGAAATAGAAAGACTGTGGCAAAAGCAAGCAAAAGTAGTACCAATAGTAATAGGCACCTTAGGTGCAATTC